GTCACAGCAAAATCAGCAGCACTGTAATAAAATATTTCTCTAAAAAGTTTATAATTAGGGTTTATTCCACTGTATACAACATGTTTTGTAAGCAGTCATGCAGTTTTTTTTATATTCAAGCGAACACTATAATAAAATAAGACACCCTTTATCAAAACATAGAGCAACTAAATAACATGTTGTCTCGCTTTCCTACCCACAAAAGGGATTTGTTGTAAAGTTATTGCTAATCACTTTTATCACCTAAGGAAGATGCAAAAGGACAGGTTTAATGAAGGGTGACAGCTAACTAAATGGAGATTAGATGAAGCACCTTGGCCAGTTTTAAGGGAGGGAATCCCACAAGCTCTTATTTCTCATTGTAAAGGAGGAAATAAGAAGAAATATTATAAGCATATACTGGTGTCAGCCAGGAATAGGAAGTGAAACTGTGTTATCAATTCAACACCTTGCATGACGTGTCCCATAAAATCAACTGTAAGAAAAGGTCAAGCATGACAAGCTGTTGTGTGTTATCATCTCTAACTGACTGAAGAATTTTTTTTATTTCAAACTCAGATACGTAACAGCACGATGACGAGGGCACATCGTAGCTGTGGGGTTTCAGTTCCATTTAACGTCCCCACTGTGAAATTTAATGAAATAATATTTACAGCCAGCTGAGACTGTATGTATGCCATTAGTTAAATCTAATAAAATGAGGATATGCTGAAGAGATACAAAACCCATGTTCAGATATCCAGTTTGGCTCGACATGATTTTTTTTTTCTTTGACCACATTTAGAAGACACCAATGTCTGACTCACTGAGAATTTTATGCATGCTTTTCATAATCTATTGATTGTTCACTTCAAAACTTGCTTACATGTTCTGCAAACGAAGACATTTTTCAGTTACCAAAAACTCAAATCACTTTGATTAAGACAATAAATAATTATTATTATAGCCAACTGTTTTCTTCCTAGCTTTGCATGATTTACATTTCAAACTAATCCTTTATAGCAGACAATCAGTTAATTTCCTGTCTGAAACAAACCATTTTAGCTACTCTACCTTTAAGCCAACTTTCTTCTGACTGGCTGACTCTGGCAAAGAGGAGGTTTAAACCACAGACTGTATTTAAAGAAGGGATATAGTTTCAGGGTTTGCAAAGGAAGCCAACACAGATGTGCTTTAAACCTGCATTTCTTCCCTTACAGATAGAAGAAACCAGCAACTCTGGAAGGAAGTAATGGTCAGAACTTCAATAAATGGTGGATG